GGTCCTGCATCCGCAGGTTCCTTCACCCTTCGGCCCTTCACCCTCCTCCTAGGTTGTCTGCGTTTGGAGGCCTCGAGGACCAGGGTAGGAAGCTGATGGGGCCAAGTGCTGTGCCGTCTGGGAACGGTGGTGTTGGGCCTTCGTTTGCGCCAGGGCCTTCGTTGGGGCGCACGTGCGGGCCCTCTGGGGCTCGGCCCTCTGTTGGGTCCAGGGGTCCCGTCAGCTTCCAGCAGTACGGGGTGACTGTCGCCGTCCTGGTCCCGGGGCCTTTTCATCCTTCTCCTTGCTCCGCCTCCTTCTCTTCCTTTCCCTCGTTCTGCTCCTCCTCCTCCTCCTGCGTCTTTCCCCGCCTCCGCCTCCTCCTCATCCTAATCCTCCTGCGATTCTCTCGGCCCCTCCGCCCCTGCCTTTTCCTTTTCCCCTTTTTCCTCCTCGTCCCTCCTCTTCTTCCAGCTGGAGCGCGATCGCTGGCAGCCCGGGGGAGAAAGCAAACAAACAAACCGATGCCGACGACGACGATCGAAGGCGATGTTTCGCCCCCAATGCCCCGCTTCCCCCAGAATAATAAAACAGTTCTAGGGAAGGAGGGATGACCAGGGATGCAGTTAGGAACTGTTGCTTTAGCTCGTCGTTCCGCGGGTTCTGGCCTACCACGTTTCGGCGCGACACGCTAACCACATTCCCATTTCCAAGCGTCACCGCCCCGAGCTCCTCCCAGCCTCACCCTACGCGGAGCGGAACGACACGCTATCAGTTCGCATGTGGCATAGCGTGTCGCCAGGGCCGCCGCCGCGATACGCCAAGTACAATTTCTCGACTGTGCACCCCCAGGGGTCTGTTCAGACGCACGCCTATCGAGGAGTGGCGCTCCCGACACCCCCCATCACAGATTCCCAAGTTGGGCTACGGAATTGCCCTCGAGCCGAAGACCCCAAAGAGTTCTGCAGTATGTATGTTGTGGTGTGTCCGGAGGTCTCGAGTCCGAGTGTTTGTTTGTCGGTACTCTCTGGCGCCTTGTGAGGCGTATTTGGGCCTCGGGGCCGTCGGCAACTCGGGTTGCGGTCGAAAGAACAGAAGGGGGTGGCCTTCAGAGAAGGCAGCGGCAGCCAGGGGAGGAGGAGGTTCGAAGATCGAGGTTGGAAGCTTGAGGAGGAGTTTGAGGATCGAGGTTCGAGCTAGTTGTTTCTAGTTTTGGTGGGGGGCTGGAGGATCCAGGCTCGAGGTTCGCTGTTGTTGTCTCACATGTTGAGGGGATCTATGGGGTGCTTCTGGTCGCCACGAGTGGAATCTTTCCAGCAAATCTAGCCAGACGCACCCCAAGAGGAGGAGAAAGAGGAGGAGGAGGATCGAGATAATCGGGTCCCTCGATGTTGGCTTCTCGGGGCTCGTTTCGGTTCGGGCATAGCAGGGACCGATGGATCTTTACCTAGTGGCCTTCGGCCCATCTGTCACCGTGCCTTGTTTGTAGGTCAGAGGCCCCCTGGATGCCTGCGAGGATCTCTTGGGAGGCCTCCTGGATTCCTCTTTGAGGCGGTTCTCGGTGTGTATTTGGGCGTCTTGAGGGCCTCGTAGGCGCACCTCGGGGGCTTCTGGAGGGAACCTGGGGCCATCTTCGGGCGGATCGTGCTCCCCATCTTGGGCCCCTCTTTGGGCCGTCGTGGGCCCCTCTTGGGAGCTCTTGGGCCGTTTGGGGGCCATCGTGGGCGCCTCTTGGGCCGTCTCGTTCTCTGAACCGACAATGCGGCAATGCGAATACCATCCAACAGCACACAAGTTTGTGACGATGTTGGCCTCTCTGGCCGCCCTCCAGGGCCTCCAAGGCGGCCCCAGAGGCGCCCAAGAGGGCTCCAGGACGGTCCCCAGGGCCATCTGAAGCCACGTTGGACATGCATGTCCCGAACAACGCGCTCTTGGCCTCTCGAAAATTCACGCGGGGGCTCACCGAGAGCGCGTAGGAGCGCCCAGGAGCGCGTGGAACTGCTGGCTGTGGGCCCTTTCAACATATTCACAGAGCTCAGCACAGACAACTCGAGGAGACCTCAGGACACTCCAACTCGTGCCTTGGGGCACGGTGGCAGACCTGGGGCGAAAGGGTCCCCGGGTGGAGTCGAAACCTGAACATACCGATGCATGTCCTTCATTTTCGCCTTTGGAGGCATAGGGGCTCTCGTCGCCACGACTGGGTTCGCTTCGGAATCCTGGTCAGAGCGTGCCCTTCAGGGTCACTTTCGATCTGATCAATCCGATTCGATATCACTTCGTGCCGGCTCAATCTGATCCGATTCCAATATCCAGACGATCCGATGTTGCCCGATGCTTGCATGGCGCTGTTGTGCATCCTGGCGCAGCCGATTCGATTCGATCTCGACTCCATGCCGAAGGGACGGGCATTCCGATTCGATCCGATTTCGCAACTCAATGTTGACTAGTCTTGTCGTTGAAGTGTCCCAGAGAGCGCGTAGCAAGGATCTGCATGTGGTACCTTGATGTTCCCCCCGAGGCAGCGGCAGCACTCGTGGCCGCCATTCGCTGGGGTGTCAGTGAGGCTCGGCGGCGCGCGGTCTGGTGGTGGGGGGTGGAGGACAGGAGTGGTCGGGCGTTCTTGGCCTCCTGTGCTGCAGTGACCGTTGTGATGTGCAACAGCTGCAAGGTGGTTGCAAACCCCTTAGAAGGCATAGCTGCTCCAAGTTTGGGCCCACGATATATTTCAGACTCGGAGCAGAAAGGCTGACTTGCCACCCACTTGCCGGCGCCGTGCAGGTGATCTGCAACCACCTTTTCATGTGTTGCAACTGTTGCAAGTCGAGCCGACCACTACAGTAGGTCTTCTCTGGGGCGCCCTCGTCGCCATGGGTGGGTATGTTCATAAGTTCGGCCACAGGACAGATCAGAGGTCGGGATTTCGAGGGCAGGGCCCACATCTGGAGCGTCGCGAAAACGATGTGCGCGGCTGTTTCTTCTCTCAGAGCTTGTCTGTAAGGGTCCTTTTGCATTGCGCACTGGAAAGGGATTCCGGGGCGACCGCGATCTGGAATGGGTGGGGCGCCATTGTCGCCCGCTGTCTTCCGTTATTCCCCGTTGTCTCCCGTTGTCGCCCGTTGTCTCGGTTGTCGCCCGCTGTCTCCCGTTGTCTCTCCTTCTGTCTCCCGTGGCCTCCCGTTGTTTTCAGCTGTCGCCGACTGTCTCCCGTTGTCTCCTCATCGCGAGTTTTCTACCCTAATCCCTATCCTTCCTCCATCTCCCATATCCCTATCCTATTCCGAGCCCTATCCGTATCCCTGCATCCCTATCCCTGTATGTCTAGCCCAGAATCCTTACCCGCATCCCTTTTCAGCGTTCTGTTTAGATCTCGCATTCGTAATCACTTTCCGATTCGCTGGGTAAGTGATCGCAGTATTGTTGATGCTGTAAATTCCGAGTTCACGAATTAGCCCTTGTCCGCAGCACTATAAGAGTTAGTGCCATTCCTGAAATGAGTGGTCACTCTAGGTGTCTCCGTCTATGCCCCGCTCTCTGGCCTGTGTTAGAAGTTGTTTGTGGTCTTCTGCCGTGGAAGTGTCGTGTTTGTTTGTTTTCTTTTGAGCCTGGGGCGGGCCTCCAAGGACGCTGCGCCACGAAAGGCTGGTTCCAGCGGTGGGTCGAGCGCTCCGGGTGGGCCCGCGTCGTAAAACCCATTTCGACGCAAGACGTCCAGGAGTGGGGTGGGGGGGGGCGGCGCTTCTCGGAAGGACCGAACCCCATTCCCGAGGGCCTGGCGATTTTTGTCCAGTCGACTTGCGGAGTTCAAGTCAGGTAAATCAAGGTACATTGACGTTGGTCAGGATAAACCGAGGTAAAGCCAGAGAAGCCGCGGTGAATCCAAAGTTGCCCAGGCAAACCTGGAACACGTCGTGGAAGCTCCCGGGCGAGTGGAAGAACAGCAGAAGTCGCAAAGCCTGTACGTAGCGATCAAGACCCACACATCTCCACGCCTCCCAAGATTCGGGGTGGGGGGGGGGCGGGGCAAACCGCAGGGGCAATGGAATGAGAGCTGCGCCCCCGCGCCTGGTGGTCTTGGGCCGAAGTAGGTAGTTCTTGTCCAGAGGGACGGCACGAGGGCGCCAAGGTGGCCGCAGCTTCGCGCATTGCGCGGCGCGACGCGCCAAGCTGGGCTACGCACGTTGAGACCAGGGCCTTTCAATTCTTCCGCACTGGCGATTGCGCTCAGATTTGGGCCCCTCTTAGAGCCGGCCGGGTGTCTGAGGTGGCCCAGCATTGGTTCCGGCGAGCAGGACGGATGGGCAGGTTCGATGCGCTGGGTTCGGTACTTGTTTGCTACGTTTTTCAGCCTCTGGGGGCCGTTTTCGGTCCCTGGAACAGTTAGAGATGGATTTGGGGTCAAAAACCACACCAGATGGACCCCTGGAGGGGTCCGGGGACAGATTTTGATCGGATGTGGCCTCATCCCCACCTCCTGTGCTGGCAGATATTATCAGGGCCCGTCCCGCTCAGGCACCCCGGCCGCCTCCAAGGCCCTTGGGCCCTCGTGAATCGATCCGTCTTTCGAGATGCCGCAGACGGTTGGGGTCCATAGGGCTCCGGTCGTGATCTGCCAGGATGCTGCAACTTGTTCGCGGCGTCGGATCTCAAGGCAGAAGCCCTGACATCTACGCAGCGTACGAGTTGGTCAATCCGCGGCCCCAGCAGTCCCGACCCCTTGCCCCGGGGTGTTTTTCGTTTGGGGTCCATGTTTGGTAGCCCCAGGGCCCGAACACGGCCCGCGATAGTTGCACTCTGACGAGAGCGCACTGTAGTAACCGAGGGGGGTCTTTAGTTTTGACGTCCCCCCCCCGCCTCTGTTTCTTTCGGCGGTGAAAAAAACTCGCCCTTCCTCCTCCTCCTGCTGCTCCTTCTCCTCCTGCTGCTCCTACTCCTCCGCCTCCTCCATCTCCTCCTCTTCCTCCTTCTCCTTCTCTTCATCTCGTCCTCCTCATGGTCCTCCTCCTTCTCGTCCTTCTGCTCATTCTCGTGGTCGTTCTCGTAATCGTCGCGGTGGAGGTTATTTTCCCTCTAATGGTGGGAGGGCTGGATAATGGTGGGGGTATCTTTCTCCCAGGGAACTCCATTCAGAATTACCTTTCACGCGAGAGGATATGTGAGCATCTTTCTCATGAGGACCGCAATCGGACTCAATGGTTGCGGTTGTCGTCGTGGTTTGTCGTCGTGAGTGAAATCGTGTTTGTAATCGTGCGTGTAGTCGTGGTTGTAGTCGTGATCGTAGTCGCGTCTGTATCCGCAATCGTAGTCGTTGTTGTCGTCGCCGTCGTCGCGGCGGATATTATTGCCCCTCAACTGGTGAGCGGGTTGGGTAACATTAGGTGTTCCCCCCAGGGAATAATCTTTTGGTGGTCTAGCCTAAACGGAAGAAGAATGTGTGAGCATCTTGTCATGAAGATTGCAGTCGGAACCAGTGGCTCTGATTGTAGTCGTGATTGTAACCGTGGTTGTAATTGTGTTTATTACCGTGGTCGCAGTCGCGATTGTAGTCGTAGCCGTAGTCGTGGTTGTAGTTGTAATCGTACAGTAGTCGTCGTCGTCGTCGCGGCGAAGATGGTTGTCCCTCTACTGTTGCCCGGGCCCGGTCACGTTGCGTTGTTACTCCCAGGGGTTCATCCATTGCGGGCTTCCCTATACGCGAGAGGACTGTTGAGCATCTTCTCATGAGGATTGTAATGCGCAGCAGTGGTTCTGGTTGAAATCGTGATTGTAGTCATACTTGCAATCGTGATTGTTGTCACCATTGTATTCGTAATCGTATTCGTGGCTGCAGTCGTACAGGTAGTCGTCGTCGTCGCCGTATTCGTAGTCGTCGTCGTCGTTGTCTGGAGAAAGAAATGTTTGCCGGTATCGGTGGAACCCGAGTCCGCCAATAAGGTCGCCGCACAGATTATTTGTTCCAATTTTTTCGGGGGGGGGGTCTGCAATAGCTGCAACGGGCTGCAATAGCTGCGGGGCGTATGCAATCAACTTGAAGGACGCCTGCAGGTGGCTTGCAAGTCCGCCTCACTGCTCCAAGTCAGGCTAAATCGCGGACTCAACTTGAAGCATCTAGGCGGACTTGCAACCCACCTGCAAGTGCCTGGCAAGTGGGTTGCGACCACCCTGCAATTGTTGCAGGTCGCAGTGGTCACGGCAGAAGGGAAACCGCAGGATTGAAACAATTTGATCGTCGGAGATTTGGGTCTGACCCGAGGGCAGGATCGCCCCTGGGGCCCCCACGGATCCCTGCCACGAGCACAGGCGACGAGCGCAGCCCAGAAATTCCAGTATCAGATGTGTTAAATCCTGGCGTTTTTCTTTGGTTTGGGCTTCCGTGGCCCGTTTCCGGGCCCTGGGACCATCAAGACAGAGTCCAGCGCGGAAAACTCGGCCCAAGCATGGGGTCGGGACCTCTGGGGGCGCGCATTGAAAGCGCCTTCCTGAGGACGGGCTTCTAATCCCGAGTAATTTCTTGACGGTCCTGGAGCCCCGTGAGGGCCCTTGTAAGCCGAGAACGCACGTATTCTTCTCGGGGCGAAGCAATATGGGAGGGGCTTCCCCCAGGGTCCAACCCAACCTCCCCAGAGCTTCAAAGCCCCCCATAGTCCCCGACCTGCTCCCAGAGGTCCAGACCTGTTCTCTGGGGACAGTTCTTCAGTCCTGGATTACTATGTGATGGCCCCGGGGCCCGAATAGACGCCGAAGACGATGAGCAAACACACCCTAATCGACAGGAGATCGGCGCCCCTGGAGCTTCGTAGCCGCCCCCGTGCTCGCCGCCTGCAGGGGCGCCCCGCTGGACGCGTGCCAGTCGAGGATGGCGCTGGGGCACTGTACTGGTCGGTTCGACTTGCAACAAATGCAACAGCTGCAAGGTGGTTGCAACCCGCTTGCAGGGCGACTGCAAGGTGGTTGCAAATCCGCCTAGCTAATTGCTCGAAGTCTGAGTGGAGGCAGCTAGGCGAACGTGCGACCCACTCGCAAGTGCCTTGCAAGTGGGTTGCAACCAACTTGCAACTGTTGCAGGTCGCAGCGGTCACAGCAGTAGGTCTCACACACGCCGTGAGCCGCACCGGCGACGGCCTCTTTGAAGGCATGCCCGTCGGTCTGCTTCTGGTGGTCCGCCCGCTCGTCCCCCTTGCTAGGCAGGGGCAGGGGGGCTCGTGTCGGATTCGAGGCTCGAGGTTGTTTGGCGTTTTCGTTGATCCTCGGCGGTATTTCAGACTCGGGATGCGCTCCAGCAGCTGCGCCTCGCCGAGGGCGTTCTGGGGGTGCCCTGATCGTCCCGAACGGCCGCCCGAGAGCCGACTTCTGGCCCGAAAACCAAGGGGCTACGTCATGAGATAGGCTCAGGGGGGACGCATCGGCCCCCGATCGCCCCCTCAACCGCCGATAGGGGGCCCAGTAGCCCACCCCGTCCGGGGACGTGTGGTCTCGCCATCGGGGGCCCATCGCCATTCCAGGTCAATTCTCCATCCCTCCCTCTCGGGCTTGCTGGCCACTTGTCCCAATTGTTTGTGTGTGGTGCGCTCGTGGCACAGCTCGTGCGCACGGGCGCATGGAGTCCTTTGGGGAATGCCGCGGCGCTGTGGCATACTTACAGTAAAGTTGTTTCTTTCTGAGCTTGGACAGGGGAGGACGAGGAGGAGGACGAGGAGGAGGAGGAAGAGGAGGAGGAGGAGTGTAGCGGAGGGCGGGGAGCAGCAGCAATGGGGTCACCTCCCCATCTCCCTCGCCCTTGCCCCTCATCATGTGGGAGGAGTCGGAGGCGGATGAGGGGAAGAAGGTGGGCTGTGGACATGGAGAGGGAAGGCGTGAATTGGGCGTGCGAGTGGGGAAGTTGCGTTCTGACGATTTTGAATCGTGCCAGAAACAGTATTCCTGGGATTTTAACACCGCGAATCCACGTTACCGGGACGTTCGTTAACCATGAAGACCCTTGAAACTGTTACAGACTTCGAAAACGAAAGCGCGCGGCGCGTCAGAGAGAGCCGCACTTCGAAAAGGAGCCGCACTCCATCCGTGAATCTCTCGCAGGCTGTGGAGTCGAACGTGAGCGGCGATATGGCGAGAGCCACACTCTGGAAAGGAGCCGCCGTGTATCCGTGACGCTCTTGCGAACTTTAGAACGAACGTGCGCGACGCTGCGGCGGGAGCCAAATTTTGAAAACGGGCCGCTCTCCACCCGTGGAGCTGCTGCAACGTTTTAAATCGAAAATTCTCGGCGCTCGGGCGAGAGCCACATTTTGAGAGCGGGCCGCACTCAATCGGTGAAGCCCTTGCAAACGCCAAGCTTCAGAATCATGCGTTGTGAGGAAGTCTCGTGCGAAACGCCCGGCCCGCCTTTTCGACCGGCCTCGGGGTGCGACAGGGAGGAGCATCTATAAGGAAAAGGAATGGAGAGGGAGGACAAACTAGTTGCCCTCTTGCCATGTCTGACATCCTATCCCTCCCACGCGTCCCTTCACAAAGTGCCGAACGCATGTGTGTGCGCCGAGTTTGATATCCTGGAATACCTTGGTCCACAGAGAGGGATGGATGTGTGTGTTGGGTGGGGGCTTGAGGATGAGGAGAATGGATGCGCATGGGGATAGGGAGGATGATTGTGAGGACGGATGGTGATGATGATGATCAGCAGCAGCAGGAAACAGGATAATTATAATGAGCCAGTGGAGCAGGGAGACGAGCGGAAAGCGGAGCATGGACCATGATTGCGGCAGCAATTGCATGGGAGGAAGCAGATCCAGGAGTGTTACCTGCGCTTGGGCGAGAGCGCCAGTCTGCACGGCCAGAACAACGCACCGATCTTGAAAGTTGGCCGAAATTGTAGCCTGAACGCTAAATTCGAAGGGCCGAGAACGTTCCAATCGAAAGACACATACGCGTGGAATCTGTTGTGAACGCGCAGTACGCGGGAGAGCTGGCGACCCGCAGCAGATCAGAGCGGACAGGAAAGTCCTGCTCATATTGTGTAGCTGTATACGGATGAGTTCAGGCGACATGTGGAAGAAAGGCACGGGATGATGATGAGATAGGTAGAAAGATAGGACAGGAGACGGGAAGGTCGGAGAGAGGAGGGAGGAGGAGAGTGGGATGCGGAGGGGGGGGGAGGAAAGTGACAACCTTGCGCAGTATGAAGCAGGGAGCCAAGGAGGAGGAGGAGGAGGAGGAGGAGGAGGAGGAGGAGGAGGAGGAGGTGGGATGAGAGATGGGAAGGCAGTGGGACGGGGGCAATGTCGAGGGGTGATCTTTCTGCGCGTCGTGCAGAGCACGGCGCATTGTTGCGCGCATTCCGTCATCGGTGGCGCGCGAGGAGTGAGTTGTCTTGCGTGATGTGGATGGGGGGGAAGTGGGGCAAGAAGTGCGAGGGTTCGTGGATAGAGGAGGAGTAACTAGAGGGAGGAGGAAGTGCGGGATGGCAGTGGGAAGCAGCTGGCGAACGGGAGAAGGCGGAAAGGGCGGACAAGGCGAAAGGAGGCGGACAGGGACGCGGAGAGGTTGGGAGGGGGGAAGGGGGACGGAGAGGATGACTCGTCCTCCCCTCGTCCTGTATGAGAGGGAGGAGGGGGGAGGGACCCAGACCCCCCGCGTCGTGAACAAAATCACGATGGGAAGTGTGTTTGTTACTCTCGGCTTCCGGGGCCCTTCCCAGGCCTCGAGGCCGTCGAACAACGATTCGGGGTGATAAACAGGTCCAGGGGAAAGGGTTCTGACATTTGGGGGTCGACGTTGCGAAACAAATCACAACGTCGGGGGTCTTGGGGGAGAGGCGGGAGGACTAGGGCTAGGACGTTGGCCTGCCTTCGAAGCGACAGGAAGAGAGGGCGGAGGATAGATGAGGGAGGGAGGAGCGGGTTGCGAAGGTGAGCGTGAGAGCCTGGACATTTGTCCACTCGCAGTTGCGCCTGCTAGGTAGATCTGGCACACATTGCGCGCAGCGAGCTTGGCATTGAGCGCGCACTGCGCAAGCACAGCGAGGAGTGCTGCGGGGTCTTGGGTCTTGGCCTGTGCCCGCCCTGGGTTGGCAGACGCAGGCCCGCTCCGCCCTTCCTGTGGCTGGCGGCGACGCCAGCTCTCACTACGAGGTGTGTAACCTCGGCCTGTGCGCAGGTCGATCGTTCAGTATTATTAAGCCCAGGCCCCAGGGGTCGTCCCTTTTCCAGAGCTCGGAACCCCAAGGTGTCGGAACCTTGAGGCTTCACATCCGAGATTTCTTGTTGACGGCCCCTGGGGTCAGTAAGTCGAAAGCTGCCCATCTTGGCTCTTCTGTCCGTGAAGCAGGAGGATTGGGGTGGGCGAGACTTTCTGGACACTCTTCCCGCAGATCCCGCCGTCATAAGGTTGGCATCTTTGCCCCGTCCCAGGCCTCGAGATGCTTAGGATAATCTGGCAGAAAGACTGGGCTGGGGGATCCAGTTCCAGACCTTCAATGTTTGGGCTTTTTTTGGATGCCTGAGCCCAGTAGTTGGTTTCGACCATTTGTCGACGCCGATCTTGGTCATTGTCCCTATCGGCCGTTGTCGATGTGCGAGGCGGCACTACTTGACGATGACCCAGATGGTCGATTCATAAGATCGACGCCGACCTTTTCGCGTTCAGTCCTGTTCATGGTAATCTTTTTACTTCCTTACGTTTGGGGTCCTGCATCCATGTTGATGGCCATGGGGCAGCATAGGAGGGTCCCCCCAGACGCCAGACGAAGTGAACAGACATCAAGGCGCTGGAGGCCTGCGGCTATTTTTTGTCGGACGACGTTGTGGCCCGATTGCGCGTCGCAACCTCGTGGAGTGTGTGAGTGTGTGAGTGTTGTGTGTGTGTGTGTGTGGGTGTGTGTGTGTGTGTTTGTGTTTGTTTGTCTGTGTGTGCGTGCGTGCGTGTGTGTGTGTTGTGTGTTGTGTGTGTTGTGTGTTGTGTGTTGTGTGTGAGTGTTGTGTGTGTGAGTGTTGTGTGTGTGTGTTGTGTGTTGTGTATTGTGTGTTGTGTGTGTTTTGTGTGTGTGAGGGGGGGGGCGGGTGGGCGGGCGGGCGGACGGGGGGGGGGCGTATGCGTGTGTGTGTGTGTGTGTGTGTGTGTCTGTGTGTGTGTGAGTCTGTGTGTGCGTGTGTGTGTGTGTGTGTGCGTCTGTGAATGTGTGTGTGTGTGTGTCTGTGTGTCTGTTTGTCTGTGCGTCTGTGCGTCTGTGCGTCTGTGTGTGAAAGTCTCGCGTTGTACCCTTCTGTTGAGCTGTTATGAGGCTATCCAGCTGCCTGCGGCAAGCCCCGCCGCCGCGCGTGTGCAGGAGGGAGGCTGAGTGTAGGAACAGCGAAATTGTGGCGAGTAGTCTGCACTCGGGCGGGTCGTAGTCCTGACCTCGTATTCGTCCGCGCGGTGGGGATGAGGAGGAGGAGGAAGAGGAGGAGGAGGAGGAGGAGGAGGAGGAGAAGGGGAGGAGGAGGAGGAGGAGGAGGAGGAGGAGGAGGAGGAAGAGGAGCAGGAGGAGAAGGAAGAAAATGAGGCTGAGGAAAAGATGGCTTCTTGGAGTCTTCTGGGGGCTTCTGGGTGGCCTCCTGGGAGCTTCTTGACAAGCTCTTGGCGGCTTTTTCGGGGCCTCATGTGGCCTCTTGGGGCCCCTCGGGCCGTCTTTCGGAGACACTTGGGCCGTCTGACTCCGATGGAGGCCGTCTTTGGGGTTTCTATAGGCCGCATTGGTGCCTTCTTGGTGCGGTTCAAAGCAGTCTGGGGGCCCTCTTGGGAGTCCCTTGGGCGGTCTTTGGGTCCTCTTGGGCCGACTTGGGGCCCTCTTAGGGGCCTCTTGAGTTGTCTTGGAGCTATCTTGGAGACCTCTCGGAGGCCTCTTTAGCCGTCTTTGGTGGTTGGACACCCCAGCATGTGATAATCTCAAACTCGCTTACAAACCTCAGGATAATCTCTGCTTTTGGCTTCCTCGGGATCTCCGGGAGGGTCTCTTGGAGACTTCTTGGGCCATCTTGGGGAATTTTTGGTATGTATTGCGGCTGTTTTGAGGGCTTCTCGAACCGTCTTGGGCCATCTTGGGCCATTTTGGCGTCATTTTGTCTGAAAACCGTCCTGGAGGTCATGAGGCTCCCCAAAAAAGGCTTCAAGGCACATCAAGCGGCCCCCAAGACGGCCCAAGAAGTTTCCAACAGCCCGAGGAGGCCAACACCATTGAGTGGCCTGTTTTCAGGATGTTGAGGTTCTGGCATGTTTGGGTTTCGGACCGCCCACGACAGCCCAAGAAACTTTTCTGGGCCGTGTTATTGTTCTTCTGGAACGCTTCAAGGCAGTTTGGGGGCCCTCTTCGGGAGCCCCTTGGGCGGTCTTCCTTGTCTTCTTGGGCTGATTTGGGGCCGTCTTGGGGGCCTCTTGGGCTGTTTTGGAGCTATCTTGGAAGCTGTTTGGACTCCTCTTGGGCCGCCTTGTGCGGCCCGAAACCCGAACAGGCGATAACTTCATAAGCATCCAAGCGCATTTCAAGATAATCAATCGTTTGGGCCCCCCTCAGGCTCTCCAATAATGCCTGTTGGAGCTCTCTCGGGTCGTCCTGGGGCTCTCTTGGGCCGTCTTGAGGCCCTCTCGGGCTACGTGAACGTTAGATATAACAGAGGGTTTTGCGAGCGCGCGTAGACGCTTCGTC